TCATCAGAATAGGGATCGTCGTATGGCTTCGGAGCAGGGCGCGAGGGACCAGCAGCAACACCGTAGTCCATGTCGTAGGGACCGTGCGCATCGAAAGGGTTCGAGCCATAGAATGAGTCTGCGGCTATATTTTGATCTCGGGATGGAGTTGTGTATCTCGAAGGTACTGGTGTCGAATGTCTTGACGAGCCTACAATCGAGGGTTCCCGCGAAGCTTGACGTCTAACGCGAACATGAGAAGGCGATTCATGATATAAACCACGCAATACACAAACCGCTGTTTCATCCTCGCTTTGTATGCCGCCTCCTCTTCGTCGTCGGAGAACTCAAGCTCATACTCGGCAGGCTCCTCATCATGGACATTGCTCGCATCGCTTCCTTTGATACGCTTGAGTTCGGATAGGAACACAAAATTGCTTCGCTGCGGTACGTGAAACACTTCACGACCGATTATCACCTGGTCAGGGTTTAGCGGAAAGTCGTTGGTGAATTTGATCTGGTACAGAGGCTGGTATGTTGGACCAAATGTTTCAAAAACCTGTGTCAGGTCAGACGAGGCACATGTGAGATAGAGGAGGGATACTTACATGGCCCAAGACCTTCCTGTCTTCGAAGACCAGCAGAGTCTCAGAGTCCAGAGCTTTCTCAGAGGCCCGGTTCTGAGCTTGAGAAGCATGGCCTTTGACGATAGCGACCTTGTCGATGATACTCATAATTTCTCCCACTTTCTCAAGCTGTTCATCTGGCCCAACCTCGGAGATCTGGGGTACGATGATGTCACCCTCGAGGAGCTCATTTTTAGTTCGAAGGATGGCTGTAGAAGATGGTTCGCCGTCTTCGTCGTCTTCATCCTCCACCTGCTTACGCTTGTTTGTCGGTTTAATGTCCTCTTCGACGTCAGTGTCTGAGTCTGAGGAAGAATCAGAAGAGGAGTCCGAAAGCCCTGTGCTGAAAGGAAATTAGTTTTGTATGCAACACAGCTGGGCAATGAAACTGACCTTTTGGACGAGCCAGAGCCATCCTCTTCACCACCAGCCAAGACCTCCGCCTCCACTTCGTCTTCGCTATTGGCACCATCGTCCGAACTCGCGATGTCATCCTCCTCTTGTTTTATGGCCACCGCGACCGTGTGTGGCACCTCTGGTGCCTTTTGAATTTGCCCAACGAGATCCTGGATCAGAAGAAGATCCTGGGGAACAATCTCAGGAACTTTAAAGAATGGAGCCTGCATGAGGGAAATGGTGGGTTTGCAAAGAGACAGGCTGCAGAACAACTGCGTCTCTTTCAAGTCATTGCCAAATCCAGCTGACGCGAGACGCGTCGTACCAAAATTTCGCGTCGCGCGTGCTGCTCAGTCTACACCAGCTCATCATGTTCAGGTCAACGCGCGCCGTCCTCCCTGCTCTCCGTTTCTATTCCACCGCCGAGCCTGCGAAGCCGTCGCTGAAGCTCGTCGCAGAGCTGCGCAAGTTAACGGAGGTGTCTATCGTGAAGGCCCGTGAAGCGCTCAGCGCCACGAACAATGATGTCAAGGCCGCGCTGGAATGGCTGCAGAAGGACCTGGAGGTTTCGGGCGCGAAGAAAGCTGCTAAGCTCGACGGGAGGACAGCAGGGGAAGGTCTAATTGGCGTTTCGGTGCTGTCAGCCGGAACTGGCTCAGAGACGGGTCGTGGGGGTGTCCGCGCTGCTATGATCGAGCTCAACTGCGAGACCGACTTTGTCGCCAGAAACGAACTCTTCGGAAAGCTCGTCGCCGACATCGCCCACACCGCCGCCTTCATCTCCGACGCTCAGGCAAACACGGATGACTTCCTTAACCCTGTCCCCGTGGACCTGCTCAATGACGCACCACTCCTATCCCAGACGCCCTCCAGCACACCCTCCACGGCCACCGTTGCCAGCGCCATTCGCGACCACATTGCGAAACTTGGCGAGAAGATCTCCCTCAAGCGAGCGACCGCCGTCGCGCACGACCCCTTCCCCAGCACACAACCATCTCTCGGCCTCCGCGTCGCGTCCTACACGCATGGCGGTGTCAGCCTGCCCTCCCAGGGACGGATCGGCGCGCTCGCTCTCCTGGCCCTGAAGTCGCGTAACCTCAGCACATTGCTCACTACGGATGCCTTCCGTCAGGACCTCGACAAGCTTCAGCGGTCGCTAGCAAGGCAAATAGTCGGCTTCGAGACACACTCTATCCACTCTCCAGAGGGCATCAAGGATGAGACAGCCTTATACGACCAGCCATTCATGATGATGGCGGGATCTCTCCCGGACGAGAGCGTGCGCGCCCTGCTTGACCGCTGGGCGATTGAGAAGCAGCTTGTCGTTGGTGCGGATGCTGACGAGGCTGGCGGAGTGCAGGTCGTGGAGTTCGCGAAGTGGACTGTGGGCGAGGACCCGAAGCCTTGATTCCTCTGAGCATTGCGTTCGTCCCAGTTCCTGTATACCTGGTGCATCGTTGACCTTGACTAACGATTCAGGCTATGGATCTCATGCTGTAACTATTGTACTTGCTTGCTTAATTATCAATGCACATCTCACACTATACGGTTTTGCGACGCGGTGGGTCTGGCAGTTCACTACGAGTCTGCTCTTCACGGGGAACCGAAATCGCTCAGATAGAATTGACACGTGCGGTAGGCAGATTAGCGATGGTACAACAAGTGAGTGCAAAATAGCGAAGAAGTTAGATATGGCGGATGTGTGATAGAGCGATGGACGATGTCTCGACAATTGCCTGCGATGCCTGCTAAGGAGGGAAGTGCAGTCGTTTCAGTTCAATCCTTGTTTTGGTAGAGCATTATCATACTCACCCTTTTCAGATCGATGGAGGTCTAGTTGTCTCCCATGGGGAGCCCTTCCGATTCGATGAGTTGCTTGATCGGTAGGATGTCAGTAGGGTGCGACAACGTGCCAGGGTTGAAAGTTCCCGATCCCGCCGGGGGAACAGGTTCAACCCTCTTGAAGAAGTGAGATCTAGGGGATCGACCCAAACTCATGAACCACGCCGCAGCACGCAGTGACAGAGAATGAACATACCTGGTTCCCATTCTGGAACTGTCTCGCACGCCGATGGAAAGTGCATGGCAAGCGGTCAGCATTGCGACGAGAACAAGAGATTGGCACTGCATCTTGCTGGGAATTGCGGGTATGTTGGTGGGTCAGGTTGACGTTGAGATGTTTGGTTTCGCTTCGAATCCTGCAGGTTGATATATGGCCACTGGGGCCTCAAAGGAATTCATGACGAGCGCGTCGATGTGTGGAGCAGATGAACATATCTCGTGATCAAGAAAAATACAACATTGATTTGCAGGTGATACCGGGAAGGAGGACATAAACCACATCGTGTACACACACTATTGAGGGGCAAGATATCTAAAAGAATCTATCAGTACTATGCGGCATTAATTCTATCAGTCTAACATCCGGCTCTTTGGGGGAGATGCGGTCCCGTCTGGGCTGCCAATTATACATCTATCGAGGCGCCGAATGAACGGCAGTCCGAGCCAGTAGTCCACCATGAACTTGTGATGATCATCCTTGATGCACAAGGTTCTGAGGGGGGTCAATTCGAGTAACTGTAGGCGCTTTAATCCGGCTAAACTTACAGATCTGCAACACGTTGGTCAGCGGGCACGGAACGAACAGAGAAAAGCTTATACATACAGCTTGAGCCAATCAACATGTAATATGTTCCCGCCGCCTTTTTCGGCATGAGTGGACGTATAGGTGCTGTGATATTTATGGACTCACGGTCATGATATGCCACCAAGAGTGGCCTATAAGACATCGACGTCAGCATGCGTAGTCGTCGCGATAGGAGTGCGCAGAACTGACCTTCTAATAGGAAAGCGGTAGGCCAACCAATCGTGCGCTTCCAGTTAGTGAGCGTGCTGCAGAAGATGTTGTCGAGATTCCACACGAAAAACCCAAAGGCGAATACCGCCGCGCCCGTTCCGAACAAGCGACGCGTTATACTCTTCTTCTTTTCCGGAATCCGGCGAGAAAAATCAGAGTAGCCGACAAGGTACGTAGTCCGGGCAGTGACGCAGAACATGAGGATCGCGAATACCACCTGGTGATACACGGGATTGCGATAGCATGCACTGATCGTCGGATGAGTAAGCGCAAAAGGAAGAGAGGCGGGCACGCACTAGCTCCAGGTGAACAGGATGTCAAAGAGCAGAGAGCTGAGCAGGAGGTTCCGTATGCGCGCGGAGTGCTGTTCAAAGCCCGGCTTAATGTCCCAGAGAACGGCGTTGCAGTAACTTGCGACGTAGATCATCGGTAGCTCATCGGCTAGTTGTGCCTCGTATAGGAGGGTTGCGTGAAAGGCGAAGCTGCCAATTCCGACGAGTGCGAATCCCTGTGCAAGTTAACGCGTGTACGGTTTGTGTCGGGGTGCTATAGCTATAGAGCGATCGGAACAAAGGACGAACAACAAAACCAGCGACATAGCGGACGGGAAGCGTCTCCCGGAAGACAGAGAGCGTCCCATACAGCGCAAGAGCAACTGTGACAATGTTCGAGAAGGAGTTGGCGAGCTCGGCAATATAATGCGAAAACTGGTAGTTGGCCTAGAGAGGTTGAAATGAATTGGGTGAAGAGATCAAATGACTCTTTTCGCCTTACCTCGCACCAATCCAAAGTCGCAGTTACTGGACCCCAGATGCCGTGGACGGGGATAGTCTCCATTGCTCAAGATGCGGAAAAGAGAGACTGCGCGCTGATAGACGTATTACAGGAGGGGGACAAAGGTGCAGACCTTTAGGGACGCTCACACGACGCGTAGTGGAGTAGAAAAAGAACGCCTCGAGGGGTGAAGTGACCTCCAAAGATAGGGACAAGATGTCCTCCGAGGTCTGACGTGAACCCCTCTACGCCGGGAGTCGGGTTCGGAAGGGTCATAATAAACCATGAGTCGGAGTGGCTGTCGGCATAAACACTGCGGCTCTTCCTGCGCCACTCATTCTACCTGACTCAGACTCTTTCTGCTAAAAGACAGCATAGCTCAGTGGTTAGAGCATGCGATTGCAGTGGCAAGAATATCGCAGGGTCTCGTGTTCGACTCACGATGTTGTCTGCCTTTTTTGCTACCCTCTCAAAAACTCCTGCATGCCGTTGATTCCAGTCCGCGCATGCCTGCACGCTTTGTAGGCAGTGGTCCAGCTCCCTTGTCCGTTGAAAACGCACTGCATGTCCTCTGAGTCGTATGCTGCAGTGTCGTTTTCCTTGAGATATAGGCGCCATAATATAGGATGCTTCGCGTCGCGCGGTTGAAGTCTTGCCGAACGATGACGGTAATGCTCCGTAAGCGCGTGAGGACTTGAGCTTTCTGCCACGCTCGCGTTGGTCTCCCTCAAACGTCCACCACCGTTCTCTATCTCTGTCTCCCGGGATGCGCAATGCCTCGTACTCTGTAGTGCGCCAGGGTCTGCGGCGGCAGCAACAGCAGCTCCGTCGGGCTTCGACCGCATCGAGCCCACCTGTTCAAATTACCACTCTCCCGAACAAGATACGCGTCGCTACAGAATCGACTCCGGGTCACTTTTCGTCCGTTGGATTGTACGTGGATGCTGGCTCGCGATATGAAGTTCCCTCGACATCGGGTGTGAGCCATTTCCTGGACCGAATGGCTTTCAAGGTGTGTACTTTCTAATCTCGCAAGTGTACTTGTCTAACGTCGGGTGACAGTCCACCAGTTCTCTGTCCGACGAGGAGATGTCTACAGCAATCAACGAATTGGGTGGCCAGATAATGTGCTCTTCCTCCAGGGAGACCATCATGTACCAGTCGTCGCACTTCCACAAGGCTACGCCGCTCGCAATGTCACTTATTGCCGACACAGTACTCAACGCGTCTTACCTTCCGGAGGAGCTGGAGGCGCAGAGAGATGCTGCTCGGTATGAGATTCGCGAAATTAGCGCGAAGCCGGACATGATCTTGCCCGAATTCCTCCATGAGGTCGCCTACAACGGCGAAGGTCTCGGAAACCCTTTGCTCTGCCCAGAGCACCGCATCGATGCCATTACCGAGCCATTAATGCGATCCTTCGTCAAGGACTGGTACCGACCCGAGCGAATGGTCATTGCTGGGGCAGGGATGCAACACGAGCAACTGGTGGAGCTCGCGGACAAGTACTTTTCGTCGCTAAAGTACGAGCCTGTACAGCCGCCGACCTCTTCGACAAGTCGCCAAAATGGTGTGGGGCAGCATGTCCCCCCGCATCTTCTCGCGTCGTCATCGCCATCTCTCATGAAGTCGTTGACCCGAGCTGCTTCATCCTACCTTTACCCTGCAGATGCGGCTCCGCACCTCCAGGGCTCTCCTATCGTCGGCTCCACGTACACTGGCGGACACCGATACATCAAGGACCCTGACTCCGAATTCAACCATATCTACCTTGCATTTGAGGGTGTAGGTATCCATGACCCGGATATCTATGACTTGGCTACTATGCAGGTCTTGCTGGGAGGAGGAGGTAGTTTCTCGGCAGGTAGGTAATGGCAGTCATACATCTCCTTTCCTTACTGAAGCTGCGTAACCAGGTGGGCCCGGAAAGGGCATGTATTCGCGACTATACACCCACATCCTCAACCACCACCCACAGATCGACCACTGTGCCTCCTTCCACCACATCTACACTGATTCCTCTTTGTTCGGCTTGTTCGCATCGTTCGTGCCGGCACCCAATCGCAGCAAGGGCAACTCTCCTGCACAGATTCTGCCGCACCTTGTACATCAGCTCAGCTTGCTCTTGTATCGCACCGTCCCCGAAGTGGAGTTGAACCGGGCGAAGAACCAGCTCAAGTCAAGTTTGATGATGGCCCTCGAGAGCAGGGCAGTTGAGGTCGAGGATCTTGGTCGTCAGGTACGTCATGCTGCGCACTTAGGATCTTATATCGCGAGGCTAACGAGTGTCCATCTAGCTCCTCGTTCACAACCGCAAGGTTCCTGTGACCGAGATGTGCGACAAGATTGACGAGATCACGCCCGAATCTATGCAGCGCGTCGCTAATCGTATCTTCGGTCCTCAGTCAGGCAACAAGCCGACCATCGTCATCATGGGACACGAGGACATTAGGGACTGGCAGGCTACCATGAAGAAGTACGACGTCGGATCCGTTTGAGCTTTGCAATTATCGTATACACTCAGTCGCTAATCGTATAATCACCACTGAATCGACACTACATGAGAATGGTATTACAGCAACGTATAAGTTAGTCTGTGATCTTAGCGAGTCTTGATGCGGGTCCATCTCGAGTCCCTTCTCGTAGAGAGGTATATGTGCGAGCCTTCGCCAGGTTTCATCCATGCGCTTTGTTGAGAGGGTATGAGGTTTGTGACCTGTAGGCTATTGGTCAAACATTGTCGAGCAATGTGCTATTGGACTCACAAGGAAGCGCTGGCCCTCAGCAAAGTTACCGGCCTGCTTGCCTTCGTCGAAGGATAATGACATGACATCCCAGACAGTGATTTCCGCAGTCCGCTGGGAAGGCTTTCGAATGGAGCATGCGTCTTTCATGAACAGGACACGGAAGCTGCGGACATCGCGAGGTGGGCATACGTGCTACTCGTTCGCATTTGAATAAGTGTCAAGATGTGGGAGCAGATATGGGTTGGCTTACCTTCAGGTCCCGTTCAATCTCCTCCCCAATCTGTGCCCTCTCTTGTGCGATTTTGTCCCGGATGAATCGTGCGAGCCAGCCAGCTTCGGTAAGGGAAATGCGCGCGGTAACAACGGAGAATTCCTTGCCGCCGTCGAGCTCGTCGAAGATGTCCTCAATATGGTTTGGTTGGGGATCTGTCAAATGTCAGAATTTGCATGCTTGTACATACGTAAAGGTGATGAGCGACGTACCATCTTCTGTTGGATGAAAATGCGAGCCAGACCTCCTCTCGAGTCGATCGGCCCAGTCCTCGTAGATGTTTATCTTGTCTTCAAGCTCGGACCGTAAACGCGCCTGCTCTTTCTCTCTCCGTTTCTGCGAGCCTCCATGTCAGATGCCTGGATCGATAATTTCGGCTGGAATTGCTCACCATCCACTGATCCTGCAACAGCAACTCTTCTTTCTCCTTGCGAGGGCCTTCTCGCCGCTTCTTGCCGTTTTCTTCGAAGAATTCGAGGAATGCGATGGGGTAGACCTGTTCAGCGTCAGAGGTGAACCTTCGGATTCAGATTTTCATCTTACTTTGGTGACGATGAGGTTCATCAGCTGTGCAGTGCCTCCGTCTGGCGACAGGCTGCCGAGGGTTGCTATAAAAGGCTTCAACTGGAAGCCAAGCTTGGTATGCCACGGCGCGAGGTGGGTACAATTTCCGGACAGGACGAGCTGGCAAGAGTCGTAAGCCTCTAATACCTCACAAGGCTCCGATCTTTGCGTAGTTATCTGAATTTGCGATATATCAGTACGGGCGGGGGTGCGTATAAGGTGTCAACAATGTACCTTCGCGCCTGCGACCGCAATCTTGCGGCCTACTTGAATGGCGCCTTTGCGTATGGCCCTGGCAAGCGGGCCGTCTACTTGCGCACGAAGTCTGTACCACCCGTCTGTCACTTCAAGCTCCGGGTGTGAGATAAGCGCCAAGCCGTCATCTTTCCCATTCGCCTCTGGCCATAATATTTTCGATATACAGAGGACCATTGGCGAGGCCGCTGGCGCATCCTGTGTCGTGATCAAACGCAGGGCGGGGCGGGATGCGCCGTTGAGCTCCCTCTCGTACCTACAAAGCACATACACTGTTAGCAGCTATTTCTGGGGACATGAAAGATGGGCTAACCTGTATCGCAGCTGCCGCATCACCTCGCCCCAGCACCATCGCTTTTCGGCCGTAGACTCCCGCTCTGGCTCGAGGCACACCATGCCGGCGAGTTTCCACAGGATGAGGCCCCAGTGGTTATCAACCCATGCTTTCGTAGCTAGTGAACAGCCTATGTCTCTGAGAGCTTGCAGCGCAACAGTAGCGCCGAAGATGCCCTCCGATGTAGGTGCGGCGGATGGGTTTGCGAGGTCGTCAGCTGGCGCACTGTGGAATGCGTAGAAGAGCGCTGTTTCGGGAGTGATTTGTCGAAGCTCTGATACAGGTCTTATGCATATATTAGAGACGACCCTGTAGCGATAAAAAAAGAAGGCTGCGACATACATTCCCATATCGTCCAATTCGCTCGCTGAATGAGCTCCTGGGACAAGTCCGGAAGACGTCAGGCTCTGCCTTCCTGCGGCTCGCTCTAAAGCAACGTCGGTAAACATTGGTGATGGAAAGAAGTTGTGTCTCACTGAGGTCAAAGAATTTCTTCCTCGCTTTCCCCGCCCTGTTCACGTACGTGATGGCGCCCGAGGTGCCTGGACCAGCGGCTATAACAGCAGCGGCGCGTTCCTTCTTGAACTGCTCCTCTAGTTGCTTCCTTCCGGGTTCGCCAGGCCTCATGCCAGGCTTGAAAGGTGTCTGGAATTTCTTCGTTCCGGTGCCCAGTCTGAAAGGCGTAGCACCCGCCGCGCGAGGCGGGGTGGAGAATGCAGCATTCCGTATGGGTGTTTCCAGTAGTGAGGGACCAGCAGCAGCATTCATGGGCGTTATCGGCATTAGTGCCCTCATATTACGCGCAGGGGTAAAGCTAGAAGGGTATTCGGGGCCTGCTGGACGATTGGGGTTAAGCGGCGAGTTTGTATGAGCTGGCGCTTTCAGCGCCTGCGGGACGGGAGCGCGAATCAGCGGTGACTTGAACGGTCTTACCGCCGCTTTGCCTTTGATATCTGCAGATGCCGCGGTTTGGAACAACGAGCGGCTGCCTGCAAACTCCGGCGTCGAGAATCCCGTCCCGGCAGGAGCCGTCGTGTTTGGAGGTCTACCGTGTGTAGGGGAATTCTCAACCGCGCCGAGAATCCTTCGCGATGGTGATGTCACATGCGCAGGTCCTGCAGCTGGGGGTGGTGTCTTATTCCTAGGATAAGAGGAGGAAGGCATAGAGGCATCGTCGGCATCCCAAAGTCTCATGCGAGCCTCGGCTTGCCGCAGGGCATCCTCCGAAAGCGCATACAGGCTCGTTTTGTTTGCGGTGGTGAAGCCGAGAGCAGGTATCG